CCGAGTGACTTTGTAGCATCCCAGACTCTTTCAGTGACCGTTATAAACTCAATATGGCATGACACAAGATTTGAAGGATATTTGATACTGATGCATTTTACTTTACAGGGTTTAAACTAAAAGTGAAAGATTCCGGTGAAAGATTGACTAGGTGATGCATGTTCTGGCAAACCTTCAATAGTACATTTCATTATACAGGAAACTGAGAACATGACACTAACAAAGCTACTATTACTAATATACAATACTCAAATATCATCAACAGAATATTTAATCATTATTCCTTGTTGATATCCATTGTCTGTTTTATGTTCGTATTATATTACTTCAAAGTGTTACAACAATATTGTTGAGTGAATGCAGATATTTTGCTCCTGCTGTAACTTAAATTTTAACCGCAAGTTAGATTGTTTTCACACTTGAACGAACGGGTACTTCGGTCTTAAATATTTGTATTTAAAAAAAAAAAAAACACCTGTTAGATTGATTCAATATTATACCTTTAGGCACCTAATGTTTTCAAATCTCTCTGTTTAATTAAAGCAACTCTGTACGAATTTGAATTCCCCAGAATCAAACAACATATAGATGTCATTATATTTCTCGTTACTTCCAAAAATAGAGTGGTGGAACGATTTTTTTTATGACCTTGGTGTAAACATGCGCTCAATTATTTGGCAGACATGTGGAAACAAAAGCCGCACATTTTTTTTGATTTACCGGTAAATGTTCATTTGTTCATTTGATGGCATATTTACTTTAGGTGTTTTGTTCTTCATTGGTGACGTGGTAGCTCAGCAGGTCGTTGAAAGGAAGGGAAGTAACCACAATCCATATCGCACAGTTAGACAGACCGTATTTGGACTAGTCATTGCTGTGAGTTCAAATAATTATCTTTATTATACATCTGTCACCGTAACGCCATAAGTTACAGCGTGTCGTAATTTTGTCGTATTTTACAGGGTATTTTCTTCCTACCATATAAAGTAAATGCGAATTCCAAATATGGAATGATTAACATGTCTGCATTCGGGGTTTGACCGGACTCCACACAAAGAAGTTCGCTGATTCTGTTCTAAATTTTTTGATTTCGGCATTCCCATGATGTATTCTTGGTAGGAAAATAAGATGTATAATAATAAGGTTATTACGAGAATACCTCAAAGTATGCACTCAGACAGTACGTCATTGTCGCGTCGGTCGATACTCCAGCTGTACTGTCTTCGAGCATGCTTTAAGGTATTCTCGTAATAACCTCGTATTATAAACATATTCTTGAGTGTATTTTGTAATATACAAGTGCTTTTAGATCAACAATCGCCGTCATATTAATTCTGAGATTGATTATTAGATTTTAATTTGAGTCAACAGTTATGCAGACTGAGAGTTAAGAGAATTCAGGGTTCTGCCCAGCCTGATTTGTGTGCCGGTCACTAATTAATATTCATGAGTGCATTAATATTTATGAGCTAATTAATATTCATTTTTCAGAATTATCATTAGAACCAAAATACTTGAATACAGTCTGCGATCTTCTTTAATTTGGATCAGGTATAAGAACAACCTATTTTTTAGGGGTGAATCTTGACATTTCAACATCAGTGTTCTCTCCACAAAAAATGAATACATTATCGGTCAATTTACTTTATGACTTTTATTGTATTTATTGTTATGCTAAATTTGTTCTATTGTTTATCCAAAATTTAGCAGTTGGAAACCCCTATCCCATAATGCCCTGGGGAGAACTCTGAACATATTTGATATATTGAAGTATGAAAAACCTTGTTATTATGTATAAAACTATTTAAGTTTTGTAAGTTATGGACATGAGTGTTTTATGTACTTCATTCACAGGGGCCTGCGTTAAGAGGATGGTACGTGTTACTCGATAAAATATACAAAACATCTAGACCACAGACTGCGGCATTGAAGAAAATGGTCACTGATCAGGTACTGTAAAGGGGGTAATTATTCACTGGGTTTTAATTTAGCTTATTTCGCTGACTGGAAAAATGCGCTAAATTAAAACACAGTAAATATGTAAAATTTAGCATAGAACACATTATCTAAATGAGAAAACTGTGAATTTAAAACCCACTGAATATGCCTGAAATGGTAAATCAGTGAAATTTAAACCCAGTGAAAATTAGTCATTTTACAGTATAGTAAATGTCGTCTCATAGAGGGCAGTCTACATGATCTCTTGTTGAGTACTGTAAAATACTTTATTTTCGCTCGGAATTAATTTTTGCTATTTTCACTGAAGGAGTGATTCAGTGAAAATAAAAGCCAGCGAATATACCTTTTTTCCTATATATTTTACACTCAACTCGCCAAAAATCAGTGAAAATAAATTCCATAAAAAACATCCAAAAAGTGTTTTCAGCGAAAATTAATTCCAGCTAAAATAAAGTATTTTACAGTACTTTATTTAGTTTATTTTAAAGAGCAATGATGCCTCGCATTCACCGGATATTCTCTCAAGTTCCAGATAAACGTACAGGTACATTTATTTTTTTCCCGAAAAATTCCACCTGGTATGTTTTTATTTGGGGCGGTGCGCTTATTTATATTTCTAAATCTGCCGACTAAAAAAAATAATTTCTTGATTTAAAAAAATGATTGAAATCAAATCTAAAAGATCACACTACAACATTAGTAAACCTCTTCCGTGTTGCATTTACCATGAAGTCACTGAACTGTCATTAAAGTGTAACTGAATTGGGCCAATTGACTTTTTTGTGTGCAAAATTTGTTTATAAACAACATTATGAAAAAAAATCAAGTGAAAAGGGTATATAAATTGGGTAAACAGTCAATGATATTCCAAAACCGGGCCACGCCTCCTCTCCTGTTACCTTCGAGTTTTTTCGGCATTACGAGTGTTGCCGAAATGGCGCCACCAACGGGACCATAAAGCAGGAGATTGCTAGTGCACAGGATTGTTTACCATTTTTCATACGCAAGCGTTAATAGTAAACCAGCATACAGTACAGTTCTCGCGAAAGATTTGGCTTTTGTGGCATCATTGTCGCCTACGCATTGCTTCATTGTCGCTTCGCGTCATTGAAAATTGAAGCTGCGCTTGTCTCGCTTATTTTGTGGCATCATCGTGGCCTCAACTTCGCAGTCTCATGGCATCAACATGGCATCAGCTTCAAAGTATTGTGACATGAGTATGATCTCATTATTTGCACACAGTAGAGAAAAACACATGTACAGAAGTTCGATATATAATCGATTTGAAATTCAAGGCGGTAAGGGGAATAAAATAATATGATCAAAAGTAAAGTGACATTTTAAAAAGATGTCTTGTTTAATTATTTTAGTGTTGAGAGTATTGGGCACCAAAAACATTGTGAAGTACATTACAATCGGCAACGTGACGAGTGTCGTATTGACTGCAAGGAAAATTGTGATAAATTTAAAAAATCACACGATGCAATCGTCGTTCGGATACAACACAATTTACTATATACGAAATGAAGCTGTTCTTGTTATAAAATTACCTTTTTTTCGCTCATTTTACTTGCTGGGAAGAGAACAGATTCAGATTACTCATTTCGGTGGTATTTTCAGGTTCTGTGTTTCGTTTTCGGACTACTAATACCTGCAAAACACACGTACGCCGCCTGGTTGCGTCGGCGTCGCCGCCTGCCATCTTGATACAAAGTTCCAAAACAAGTGCGTACATTTCTAACTATGATTGGATGGTTGTGGTGGCGTCGGTCTGGTAAAATTTGACATCCAATTTTCAAAATTAAGTCACGATCAGTGACCTGAGCTCGATCTATACGTACTTTAAAAGTATTCTCACAAAAAATATTTTCGAATAAAAACCACATGCCCTGTAAAAAAATCGAATAGCGCTTGACGTGCAGAAATAATTTATTGGTCTTCAGAAAAAAGCATGTCCATTTAGTTGTAGCAGTAAATATTTGGTGACCAGCCGATGAACAAATTGAAAATCATGATTCACACGGAACTTGAAGTTCTTCGATACTGAAAATCGTCGACCCCAGTCTGGTGTACCTTATTTCCCAACTTGCGACACTGATTTGTGTCTCAGCCCTGTTTTTTTTGAACTGAAGTCAAATCGCATCCGATTGTCAAAATATGCCGATGTTTTTCATTGAATAATTGTGAAGCCTGTCACAGCACAAAAAACTAAGTGAATCGACGCAGGAGATTCGATGGTATGACGACCCTTCAATTTGCATCAAATATGCTTTGTTACAACGGGATCATTATTCCAAACAAATTAGTGGGACACGGTCGGTGGACATTTCAAACAAATGAAATTATTAACGAAAGACGACATTTTCTAGATATTTACGAACAAATATATACCAAATATATGCAAAATTGACAAATACACAAAGAAGTGTAATATTAGGTTTTGTTTTAGCCTTTATTTTAATATTTTCTTTCACCCAGTCCATGTGTGGGACTTCTATTTAGCTGCATGGTCCGTTGGCTTGTCTTCTCCTTGGAGGAAAACAACAATAATTATACAAATCGTAAACTCAACACAATCAGGAAAGGAAAGGAAACGCAGACAACCATGTCGTACTTCTGTTGAAATACATTTTGTAGCAGTTCGTCACGCCAGAATATTGTCTAAAATAAAATATTCAATCCCAGCCAAATCTAGGTCGAAGGTCAGATTGCGTGCATATAATTATAGATAGTTGAAACAAAAAGTATTTGAACTTTTGACGGTTGTTCAATATCTATGCACAGTTCCCAAAAGATTCACTACGTTCAATTACCCACCATAGACTCCGGTCAGTCAAAATGACTATTTTGAACTGTAGGCATTAATCAGCGATTCTGCCGGTGACGGAGAGATAGAATCCAGGTCAGGGGAAGCCCCATGACCTCAAGATTCTTTTACCCCTTACGTCACGAACCCACGTGACCGAGGCCACCTGGCAGCGCCACAGGTAGCCGTCCTTCACTCTTAATTTCTCTCCGCCTCGAGTGGAGATGAAATCTAGCGAGCTCTGCGCGATCGCCTGCTTTTTTTCCTGTCCGGATTTATAGCTTGGGTTGTTGCCGCTGCTCGGCATCCGACATGGTAGCTGGTAGGATAAGTTTTCCTTGTCTTTTTTTACCCTCGTGTCGTTTTCCCCTTTGCGTGTAGTATTTTTCACAGCAAAGAAATCAAAATCCGGCGCCACTACGTAATCACATGTTGATTTCATGGCGGCACCTTTTACAACTGTAATTCGTCTCCCTCATGCATGTCGTCTTTTATTTTTAATGTATTTAGCAATATATCGATGTAATGACAGCTCCAAGGCTCGCTGCCTTTTTCTTCCGGTCTCCTCGTCTTTCGAGCCGACCGTACAGTGGTTTATTCAGAATCTACCAGCATAGAACCCGCATCCGAGATGCTTTGTCGTGGCTATGTGTGGGTTCCGGTTTTTTTTTTTGCGTGAAAGCGTGTTTTTTTCACTGGAGTTCTGAGGCCTGAGATTTTCTTTCAGAGCCATCAAAATCGCTGACACTGACCGCGTCACAGCAAG